CTTCTTCCTTCCCCTCTGCTCCCTCCTTCCCTCTCCACTTCTTCCTCCCCTCCTTCCCCTCTGCTCCCTCCTTCCCTCCACTTCTTCATTCCCTCCTTCCCACTCAGGCACCCCTCTTTTCCCTCCACTCCTTCCTTCCCTCCTTCCCCCTCTCCTCCCTCCTTCCCCCTCTGCTGCTCCATTCCCTCCTTTCCCTCTGCTTCTCCATTCCCTCCTTCCTCCTGTTTCTTCCTCCCTCCTTCTCTCCTTCCCACTTCTCTTCTCATTCCTTTCATTCACACTCGTCTTCATTTTCCCTCCATTCTCTCATTCTTTTGTTCACACATTTATTCTTTCATTTTTCCATTCTTTCGTTCACCCGTCTCTTTCCTTTTTTTATCCTGATTTTTTCATTCGCAATCCTCTTTCGTTTTCTCAATCTTCCATTCACACTCATCTTTTCGTTTCTTCCTTCGTTCTCTCCTTCCTTCATCTTTTAAAATATTTTTATTGTTTCATTCTCCCTTGTCTCTTCTTTCATTCTCTCATTGGTTCATTCTCATTTTTCATTCATCCTTTCATTGTTCCCTTCACATTCATCTGTTCTGTCCTTGTGTTCTTTCATTCTTTCTTCCTTTCACGCTTAGCCCGTCTTTGGTCCCGCACCCCGCCCCCCCCCCGGCCAGTCCGGGACAGGTGTGTCTGTGCATCCAGGGTCTCCGTGTGTGTCACCACGTCTGGGCATGTGACTCAGTGTGTGTGTACGTGTCGGTTTGTGAATCCACCCACCGCAGCTGACATGTGGGGAACGTGTTGGGGCAACTGCAGATTCTCAGTCGTGCCTGGATGCCTGGGTTCCAGCTCCCCCAGAGTCTGGGATACTCTCCCTCCCGGACGCCTGTGTTCTCTCCCTCCCAGATTCTGGGGTTCTCTCCCTCCCGGACGCCTGGGTTCTCTCCCTCCCAGATTCTGGGGTTCTCTCCCTCCTGGATGCCTGTGTTCTCTCTCTCCCAGAGTCTGCGGTTCTCTCCCTCCCGGCCGCCTGGGTTCTCTCTCCCCTCAGATTCTGGAGTTATCTCCCTCCCTGACACCTGGGTTCCTTGTCCCAGAGTCTGGGTTCTTTCCCTCCCGGATGCCTGGGTTCTCTCCCTCCCATATGCCTGGGTTCTCGCTCCCCCAGAATCTGGGGGTCTCTCCCTCCCGGACACCTGGTTTGTTCTCTCCCTCCCGGACACCTGGGTTCTCTCCCACCAGAATCTGGGTTCTCTACTTCACGGACACCTGGGTTCTCTCTCCCCCAGAATCTGGGGTTCTCTCCCTCCCAGACACCTGGGTCTGGACAGCTGGATTCTTTGTCCCAGAGTATGGGTTCTCTCCCTCCTGGGTGCCTGGGTTCTCTCTCCCCCAGAGTCTGAGGTTCTCGCCCTCCTGGACACCTGGGTTCTCTCTCCCCCCAGAATCTGGGGTTCTCTCCCTCCCAGATGCCTTGTTTCTCTCTCTCCCAGAGTCTGGGGTTCTTGCCCTCCCGGACGCCTGGGTTCTCTTCACCTAGACACAAGGACTCTCTAGCCAGGCTGGGTTTTAGTTTTAATTGCACCAAAAAACAAAAAATTCCACAACCACATCACAACCAGGAGAACTTGACTCACTGCCCCCACACCCACTGTGGGGTGTATCTGCTCCACCAAATGCCGCTGTCAGAATCATAATTAGTTCCAGTGTTAATTAGCCGGGGACGCCACCCAGGGCTAGCCAGCAAACCGGATCTGCAACAAGCTAACTGACACGCAAACACAGCAGCAACAGAACCAGCCTTGAGAACCCAGGCGTCCTGGCTTCCAGCCCCCCCTGCTCTGACCCACCAGCCCCAACTCCCCTCCCAGAGCCAGGGAGAGAACCCAGGAGTCCTGGCTCCCAGCCCCCCTCGCTCTGATCCACCAGCCCCCACTCCCCTCCCAGAGCCAGGGAGAGAACCCAGGAGTCCTGGCTCCCAGACCTCCTGCTCTGACCCACCAGCCCCCACTTCCCTCCCAGAGCCAGGGAGAGAACCCAGGAGTCCTGGCTCCCAGCCCCCCTGCTCTAACCACCAGCCCCCACTCCCCTCCCAGAGCCGGGGAGAGAACCCAGGAGTCCTGGCTCCCAGCACCTTCTGCTCTGAGATTTAATCAGCAACCCAGATTCCAGCCAAGATCCACATGGGTGCTGAGTCAGGTAGTTTTTTGGGGCTGGCGGCCCACAGCATGGTGGAGGTCTCATGGGATGACGGCACCCTCAGCAACCACACAGTTACTTGGAGGTGTAACAGTCGCACTAGATAACCAGCCACCCTGCTCCAGAGGTGGCCGCATCTCAGTGCCGGGCAAGGGGTCCCTGTGTCACCAGCCACCCTGCCCCAGAGGTGGCCGCATCTCAGTGCCGGGCAAGGGGTCCCTGTGTCACCAGCCGCCCTGCCCCAGAGGTGGCTGCATCTCATGCTCTTGTTTCGTTGAACAATTTGTTTATTGAATGGCTCCAGATACCTGATTGGGCAGCACTCACCCAAGACCCTCCCCCCAGCCCCTCCCCCACATTGGCTTCCCAGGCCTGGATCCACCCCCAGCCGGCCTTAACCCTTGAGTTCCTCCTCGCACACCCAGCGGTAGCGGCGGGAGCACTGCGCATTGTTCCAGAGCCCGTCGTCGTGCAGGTACACGCAGTCCTCCCCGCCCCCGAGGCCGTGGCCGTCCGATTCGTCGGGCTGGCCTGCCCTCCACTCCCTGAAATGAGAGCACAACCACCGGCGGGGGGGCAGCGTGAGAGGGGAACGGGCTGGGTGGGGGCCCCGGGTAGAGCCCAGAGAGGGAGATGGGATTGTATCAGATTAGAGCGGCTAGGACTAGTTTAGATTAAGATTTTTGGAGAGGGGGGGGGGTAGGCGGAAGAAGCTCATTGTGAAATCTCTCTCCCCCAAGTCGGGCCCTAGCGATGGGGATGAGATTTGGGTTGGCCTGGATGATGTCACAGGAGATGACGTGAAGTGACGTGTCATGGCATGAAGTGACGTGTCACGACATCACATGACTTGACATGACATTGGATGAGATGAGCTGACATGACATGAGATGAGATGACGTGACGTAACATGACGTGACTTGACATCGCATGACATGACGTCAGATGACATGACATGACGTGACGTGACATGACATGATGAGATGAGATGACATGACATGACGTGACATCACATGCCATGTGTGACGAACTGGGACTGTTCTTACTGGGGTCTGTGAATGCTGACAGGGAAGTGTGGCTAGGACGGTCTGCACTGGGGGATGGGAGACTGACCAACGGAGAATACCTGAGCATGTAACGTGAGAACCCAGGGAGGGGTTAGAGGCCAGGTGACACCTTGGCCAGGGAAATTGAATAAATTGGGGTGTGGATTAGATTTCTGGACTAGGCCGGGTTAGACGATGCTACATGGGGTGTGGATTAGATTTCTGGACTAGGCCGGGTTAGACGATGCTACATGGGGTGTGGATTAGATTTCTGGACTAGGCCGGGTTAGATGATGCTACATGGGGTGTGGATTAGATTTCTGGACTAGGGCGGGTTAGATGATGCTACATTGGGTGTGGATTAGATTTCTGGACTAGGCTGGGGTAGATGATGCTACATTGGGGGTGGGTTTGATTTT